TCCCTGAGACATGATGACGTATATCCAGAACATTGTGGCAAGCTAGTGAAGAAATTGTGGGGCCTTTAGCAGAGATATTTGCATCACCAACAGCCATGGGTAAGGTGTTGCAAGATTGGAGGGTGGCTAATGTTGTGCCATTGTTTAAGAAAGACTGTTGGAAAAGCCAGGGAACTACAGACCAGTAAGCCTAATATCAATAGTGAGTAAATTGTTGTAGGGAATTCTGAGAGACAGGATCTACTCACATTTAGAAAGGCAAGGACTGATTAGGGATAGTCACCACAGCTTTGTGTGTGGCAAATTGTGTCTCACAAATTTAATTGAGTTTTTTTTTAAGAGATGACCAGAGATGAAGGCATAGCAGTAGACATTGTTTACATGGACTTTAGCAGGGCTTTGATAAATTTCTGCATGGTAGACTGGTTAATAAGGTTAGATCACTTGGGATCCAGAGAGACCTAGCTAGTTGGCAACAAAATTGGTTTGATAGTAGGAGACAGAGGGTGATGGTAGAATGCTGTTGTTGTGACCAGCAGTGTGCCACAAGGATTAGTGCTGGGCCCACTGTCGTTCGTCATTTATATAATTGATTTGGATGAGAATATAGGAGGCATGGATAGTAAGTTTGAAGATGACACCAAAATTGATGGTGAAGCTGACAGTGAAGAAGGTTATCTAAGAATAAAAATGGGATATTGATCAACTGGACCAGTGGAATGAGGAATGGTAGATGGAATTTAATTCAGATAAATGTGAGGTGTTGCATTTTGGTAAGACAGACCAGGGCAGGACTTGCACAGTTAATGGTAGAGGCCTGGAGAGTATTGTTGAACAGAGGGACCTAGGGGTGTAGGTACATAGTTCCTTGAAAGCAGCGTCACAGGTATACAGGGTGGTGAAGAAGGCATTTGGCACATTTGTCTTCACCGGTCAGAGCACTGCTTACAGGGGTTGGGATGTCATGTTACGATTGTACGGTAAGGCCACATGTGGAGTACTGCATACAGTTCTGGTCGCCTTGCTAGAAGAAAGGTGTTATCAAACTGGAAAGGGTGCAAGGATGTTACCAGGATTGGAAGGTTTTAGTTATAGAGAGAGGCTGGATAGGCTGGATATTTTTTTCTGGAGGATAGGAGGCTGAGGGATGACCTTATAGAGGTTTATAAAATCATGAAGGGAACAGATAAGATGATTAGGCAAGACTTTGTTTCCCCAGGGGTAAGAGAGTCCAAGACTAGAGGGCATCGGCTTAAAGTGAGAGGGAAAAGATTTAAAAGCAACTTTAGGGGTAATTTTTTCACACAGAGGGCAGGTCGTATAATGAAAGGAACTGCCAGAGGAAGTGGTAGAGACAGGTATGATTACAACATTTAAAAGACATTTGCACAGGTTCATGGATAGGAAAGGTTTAGAGGGATATGGGCCAAATGCAGGCAAATCAGTCTAGTTCAGTTTAGGAAACCTGGTCAGCATGGATGAATTGGGCTGAAGGCCCTGTTTCTGTACTGTATGACTCTATAACTGCAGCAATGATCATTTTATCACTGAGCACATCCATTTCATTTCTCCAGCCTCTCAGCCTGGGTTTTACCCCTTTCAGATAGGTTTTCTACCCTTTCCCTTAGGGATCTGATTTACTAATAGACGCCTTGATATGCATTCACACTGCAGCCAAATCCTACCTCAGGCCTGCTCAGAGATAGTAGGAACTACAGAAGAAGGGTCTAGGCCTGAAACGTCAGCTTTCCTGCTCCTCTGATGCTGCTTGGCCTGCTGTGTTCATCCAGCTCTATACCTTGTTATCTCAGGTCTGCTCAGTTCTGCACAGGTGTGACTTTCTGTACCTAGCACTGACTTCTCGTGTATTTAGCCCCAGGTCTGGCTGTCTTTTTTGCTTTGGAGTGCAACTATGAAGTGGTTACTGCTTCCACAAGCTTGCACTGTTCAACATCTGTTTCAATGCTTTCAACTGCTGACTAACTAGCCTTTCTTATAACAACAATGCTCTTAACATATTGTCTGAAATGATTTTTTTCCCCTTTTTCCTTTTTACAACACTATCTTCCACTATCAGCATATGGTATTGGACAATGATGCATACCACTCATAGAATGAGGCATTCTGGTATGGTACCTGTATGCACTGGTACTTCTGTTTGGGGTAGAATGCTTCCACCAACTCTCCTTCCTATGCTGGCCTAAGGGCTGATCCCATCATCTGTGGTGGAGGATGGATTGTGAATAACCATCATCAGAAAAAGCTTTGGCCTTAGATAACAAGATTTAATTCGTTACATCTCAGTAACTGCATACAGATTCCATTAACCCTTGGGCATATTAACTATTATTACAAGAGGTAGAGTAGACATATGCATCTCCATCAGAACACTGTGCCAGTTTTCCACTGAATTTCCACCCAGATGGTGTGTGACATCATCAGACTGGGTGAATCTCAGTATAGCTGAAATATTAAAACTTTCACAACTATAACATTATACAACAAATTGTATTTTATGTTTACTGCATCCATTTCTGTGGAAGTTAGTGTTTGAACCAAGCCTACAGCAGAAGGTAGAGAGTTGAAAAGAAGCAAAGTTAATGCCAGTTGACTAGCCAGCTGCAGGGGTTCAGAGTGCATCTTTTTCAAGTCTAGAGCCTTCAAAGAATTTCCTATTTCATAATGTAAATAAAAACTGGAAAAAAGTCAACTGATTTTAAATAGTTCAGAATGTGGCATCAGTCTCTGCCTTCCCCTTCACCTAACTCTCTAGTACACAGAGAGTGTTGACAGTGTCGAATAACCTATGGCAATATTACAAATTGTTGCCATTGTGCTTGGAAGAATGCACTGATGAAAATGGGTTGATTCAATTTCTAAAATGGCCAATTGCTTTTCTTTTGTTCTGTTATCCCGAATAAAAGAAATGTCCACCAGGCTTCTTTAAATAAACTCAAAACTTTTCAACATTACATGCGACTCCAGACCCACTGCAATATGGTTGACTCGTAACCGCCCTCTGGGCAAAGATGGATGGGCAATGAATGCTGCCTGGCCAGCGACACCCTCATCCCGTGAATGAATAAAAAAGAACATATTCTTAAAGAAGTGATAACTATTACTTAGCTTCTAAGCTATCAAACTATATTGTTTTAGTTCCATGCACAGACACACACACAAAAAGACAAAGACAAGTCTCTACAAAGTCTTTTGTTTGAAAAGGCAAAATGGAAAAAGAGCAAACCTGTGAATCAAGGGTCTGTAAACAAATGATTAAATGTAACATAAACAGAAATTGCTGGAAAAGCTCAGCAAGTCTGGCAGCATCTGTCAAGAGAAGTCAGAGTTAACATTTTGGGTCCAGTGACCCTTCCTTAGAACTGGTAAAATGTACTATCTGCTCAGGTGAACTGTAATGTCTGCTTATATGTACCCTGGATTCCCTGTTAATGAAACTGAATTGTTGACAGTTTTAGATGGACAATAAATGTCTAGCTCTGAGTCCAACCAACTTGGATTCCAGTTGGTGTAAATTCATCACAGTCCACATCTTCAGGTTTTACCAGGATAACTGAAATGCTGGCATTTTGAAAGTCCATCAAGTTCCCAAGAAATTCTATGGAGACAGGAGTGGGAGATAGCGAGTCATGCTGCATCTGGGGTATCTTTATTCTAACTCCTGGGTCTGCTAAATTATTACGTAGTAGTAAGCCAAACCCACCTAAAGGTAATGTCTGAACATTCCCTATTTTCTCTGTTCTGGAGATTGTCACATCGTAAGTTTACTTTATACAAAGGAGCAGGTATATCCTCTTCACAAATTCCATTTATTAAAACTTTGGCTGTCAATGGACTCTTGCAGGACGAATTGTGTCTTAATCCAGTAACGAAGTTTGAGTAACTCCTGTATCCCTTATTAATAATTATGGGTTTTGTTGTATCTAATGAGGGGTTACTTTTCATCAAATATCCTTTATATCTTTCATACTCCTTTTATAACAATAATAAGGGCTTCATACATTGCAGTTACTCTTAACGCGTGTATCCAACAGTCAAAATCACTTGTCTCTCAAATTAAACATAGGTCTGTCTAGGCTGTCTTCATATGTTTCAAAACTTTTGCCTGTATGCCTCAAGAACTAACTCAAATGCATCTAAAATAGTCTTTTCTACTGCATCAAATTCCATTGAGAGCTTCACAGACAACAATGTTGCTTTGAAATGCAAGCACTGTTGAAAAGTAGAAAAATATTGCAATCTACTTTTACATAACAGGGTCACATGAACAGGAAAAAGGCAAGTGACCAGGTCTGTTTACTGATTCTGATTGTGAGATAAGTATTGGTCAGCAGACTGAGAAAACTCCCCTACTCTTTGCTAATAGTATCGTGAGGTCTCTTATGTATATCTGAATTCATCTAAAAGACAGCACTACCTCAATGCTGCTTGGAAATGTCAGCTTGGATTATCTGCTCAAGCCTTTGAGGATACTTGAGTTTACAATATCCTGACACAGAGGAACCGACATGAGATCAAAGATGCAGACAACAACAAATTCAAATATAGCAGATATTTGTTGAGCTGATTGTCTCATTGCAGTGCTGTAAAATTCTATGTAAAGTTTCATATTCAGTACATATTGAAACAATAAACAGCATATTTATATAGCACCCACAGTATAGCGGAATGTTCACGGTGTTTGCAGAGGTATTGTCAAGCAAAATTTGACACTAAAGCACATAGAGAAATGATAAAATGCTTGGTAGAGTATGTAAGTTTTAAGGAGGATCATAAAAGAGAAAATTAGATAGAGAGGTGAAGAGGATCAGAGAGTGAATTCCAGAGCTTAGGGTCTAGACAGCCAAAGACATGGCCAACAAAAGTGGAGCAACTAAAATCGGGAACATAACAGAATCCAAAATTAGAGGAATATAATTAATTCAGAGTGCACAGCTCAGACCATCATGGAAGCTAACATTTCATCCATAGATTCCACTTACATGGCTTGTTGCTGCAAAAGGCTGCCAGCATCATCAAAGACCCATCACACCTGGCGATGCTCTCGTACAACCTCTTCCATCAGGCAGAAGTTACTGAAGCTTGAACACATGCACCAGCTGGTTCAGGAACAGCTTCTTCCTGTTCAATATTGGGCTGATGAATGGACTCTCTAACTCCAAATAATGCTGATCTTACTATTATTGATCTTGCCTAGCGTACAGCCTATACTTCATAAACTGTATGCCTCTGTTTAATTTTTTTTTTATCCTATGATCCGTATGTCCTTGGTTATTATGACCTGCCTCCACTGCTCATAAACAAAGCTTTTCACTGTTCTTAGCTACACGTGACAATAAATAAATCAAATCAAATCAAATCAAAGTTTTTTTTGTTAACTGAGGGATTTGAGCAATGTTTGCCATCGAATATCTAGGCAAAATGGTTAGATTCTGTCATGTGGGAAATGGTCATTGCCTGCCACTTGTGTGTAATGAATATTATCTGTCCCTTCTTGATGCTTGGAGAAGGTTACAGAGATATGGAGGAAAGTCTTGAGGAAATTCAAAACTTAGATGAGAATTATGATGTTGATGGACAGGGAGCCAATATAGGTCAGCAAGCACAGAGGTGAACAAGCTTGGTGGTGTTTTTAATACATTAAAGTTTATGAAGATTGCAATCTATCAGAGAAGTATTGAAATAATCAAGGCTGCAAGTATCAAAGGCACAGATGACGGTTTTAGCACTAACTATGGTGATAGATCATAGCCATGTTTTAATTACTGATATATTGAACTATAATTACAACACGTGTTGATTAGAAAAATGACTGAGAATGTAAATTTTGTGCAATGTAATCCAGAGACTGTCTGAAAGATCTGTGTGGATTTTCCCAATTTCCCAGGGTACCACGAAAGGTCACAACTAACAAGAGCCAAGGAGGCTTCAAAAACAAGGATTTCAAAAGGATGAAATGCACTTCAAACTGAACTGTAATCTATGAGTTATCTCTGATTGTGAAAATGATGAGAGCAAAGAGAGTATCTGAGTGAGAGACATTTTTGTGTACTCCCCTTTCAAGAATACATGAACAGGGGTTAAAAGCCAGTTTGAATCCTGGTTTGTGTATGTTAGTGGGTGAAAGTGTGTGCTGTTAGGATCCAACTAAGAAAACCTTTTAGGGATCATTACATTGACGATAGAAAGAGAAGTCTCTCTCTTTTGCTGGGAACCTAAAGGCAAGGGAAACCACAATCAAAAGATATATGCAAAGGTGTGTTTAGCTTAGCATCTTGAAATCAGCTGCTCATCGACCAACATCAGTGCTACTGCATCATGCAACATAATGGCTGCGATGTCCCAATGTCTACTTTTCATGGAACCATACATCATTTTTAATTTTTACCTGGTGTAATGATCAAATCCAAAGCAAAGTTTCCATATGGACAACTGGCTCCCTTTCTTTAATCACCTGCCTCCATGGTCATTCAGAACAAGATTCAATTAAAAAGCACAACTTTCTCCCAGACGAAAGGAACAATGTTTAAAAGGGAGTCAATATAACCATCTTTGAGTTAATGAAAATGCCAATTTATTAGTTACTGAACATGAGAAGAATAATAAAGCAACACAGATACACAGAGATTAAGAACAGGAAGTGAGTCCAAAAAGGTTAAAAGATATATGGATCAGTCTCTCTGGGTGTCTTGTGAAGAATAGATAGTGGAAAATAGATATCTGAACAGTTGATTTAGCAATTTTTGGCTTTTACAGTTAGTTGACATCCTTTTGACCTGTTTTCTCTCACCATGGGTTTACTGGCAGCACAAAGGACTGCAGAGTCCTTTTATCTGCAATACAAGCACGACTAAATGTGGTCCTATCGCTATTAACTTCATGCACACATGCACTTGAACCCAGGTTAGTATACATGGATGCCTCAGTTCATTAGCATTCATTCTTTCAGTAGCACATGCAGACCAGGATTACAGTCAATTTTTAAATATTTTTTGTATATTCATAAAAGTCAAAATTCAAAAAATATCTGCAAGTTGTGGCTTTCTGCTGAATGAGGAAGATTATCTGATCCTAAATTATGTCGTCCTGTTACATCTCTCTCTCATTGTTTGAAGTTCCCCTTACATTCTACAGGCGCAACATTCCATGGGTCCCACTCAGGACTTTGCGAACAGGACTGAATTTACATATGTAGTCTTTTGTTGTCTGCAGCAGTCCTCTTCTAAAAAACATGATTTGGAATTAAAAGGTTAAAATGTCCACAGTACTTTGGGGTTCTAATCCATCACCATGGCACTATATTGACACATATCCTACTTCTAATCAGCGTATACTCGTATTTAGTAACTAAAGAAAATGCCATTATGTTAACTTAAGAAAGCCTGGTTAAATTGGTTTGTTTCCAAACATGAATTCACTTGGTCTAAGAGAAAGACATCCACAAAGGAAAGGACCCTTTCTAAAATAAATTAATTGCGATCAACTAAGGGACCAAGTAAATAAAGAAAGGGACCCAGTTCACCCTTTCTTGACAACTTGGTGTGTCCCATAATAAATTGGGAAACTATACTTGGGGTGTGGTCAAAACAGTATTATTAGAGGTGAAAGTCAGTGGTCAAGGTGATGGGATAAGAAACTTCTCAGGATCAAATTGGAAATCAATGTTGCATTTGGTCAGACGTGACTAAGGAACAAAACTGAGTTGGTGGCAAGAGAACAAAGTTCATGTTTGAGACAAAAGACATTTCAAATCTAGATGACTCTTCATCAGAGCTGATGTGATGTGGAGAGGACAGCATTTATGCTATACTCTGGGGAATGGGGGTTGTGGGCACAGTGGGTGTCGGGTGCTGGTGGAGAAAAGATGTTCAGATTACTTGATTGGAATGTGAGAATGAACAATGGTATGACTCCTGCCAGACTTGAAAAGACAGTAACTGGGACTGGGGGAGAGGAGGACATGATAACAAGCTAGAATAGAGGGAAGAAATGGTCCACAATTTAAAGGTGTTCAACTCAATATTAAGTCCAGAAGGCTGTAAAGCCTTGTCTGAAGATGAGATGTTGTTCCTCCAATTCCTCCAGTGATTCACTGTAGCATACTGAGGACAGACATGTAGGCATGCAAGCAGGATGCCTTTAAAATGACTGACTACAGGAAGGTCAGGGTCTTGCTGGCACACAGACCAGAAGTGTTCCTCAAAGTGGTCACCCAGCCTGCGTTTGGTTTCTCCAATGTAGAGTAGGCCACAATACACAAGATTGGAGGAGGTACAGGCGAAATGCTGCTTCACCTGGAAAGACTGTTTAGGCCTTTGGATGGTGAGCACTTTCTCCCTGCCTTCTCTCCCATCCTCTCATCCCTGCCTCCTTGACCAGACACAACCTGTCCATCTTCTTCCCCATCCATTCGCCCTACCCTTCCCGCCAACCAACCCCCACTACCCCCTACCTGCATCCAACCTATCACCACCCACACCTACCTTTCTCCAGCCCCAGCATCCTTCCTCCCACCCCCATGGCCCAACACAACCTGTCCATCTTCTTTCCCATCTGTCTGCCCCACCTATCCCACTGACCAATCCCCACCACTTCCTTCCTGCATTCACCTATCACCATCCCACCTACCTTTCCCAGCCCCACCCCTCCTCTCTATTTATTTCCCAGCTCCCTTTCCCCTCCCTATTCCTGAAGAGGGGTCCTGACCTGAAATGTCAACTTTCCTGCTCCTCTGATGCTGCTTGGCCTGCTGTGTTCCTCCACCTCCACGTTGTATTGTCTTTCACATCCCAAGTGACCTGGAAAGAGTGCATAAAAATATATGCAAATGTTGATAAATACTTCCAGCAAAACGAAGTTCATAAAGGAAGCTAAATTTCAGACTGTAATGAGGTTATCATTGAGGATGAACAGAGAACAACAAACAAGTTTCTTGGAAGATTTTTAACCAACTTTAATATTAAAATTCCTCCAGCTTGAAACACATATTGTGCTTGCTCTGGAATTCTGGCTTTAGTGAAGCAAATGTTTTAGATTGCCTCAAGAGACTGAAAACCAATAAACAACACCAAATGGATTAACTAAAGCTGAGAGAGTCAAGAGAGAAGATTTTGAGTGAATCAATGAGACCTGGATTAATACACTAGAAATACATACAAACAGTTTCCATATTCAGGAAGCATGTTAAAAGCCATATTTGACAGCAAGATAGCCGTTAGTCTGATCTTTATAATTGTAAAGCTTATGAGACCAGTATTCAAAAATAAATTGGAAGAGTATGCAAATGAAAGTAGAAAAATAAATGACATTCAGTATGGTTTCATAAAGCGTGGATCGCACCTCCACAGCCTTGTATGTCTCTTATGGTCATATCCAAAATAGCTAAATAATAAATGCTTTAGTTTTGGCAATTTGTTCTTCGTAGTGAATATGGTTCAGTTATATATTTTATATATATATATGTAATATACATATTTATTTATCCTATAATAATTAACTGTGATAGCCCGTTCTCAGTTGGGTGGGGAAAGCATGTGGAGAGAAGAGAGGGGGAGGGAAGTGTCATGAGATGGTTTCCAAAGGCCTTAAACAAAATGCTGCATGAGACTCCTTTACAAACTAAAATCAATGTGTAAAATCTGGACCTTGGTTATAAATGGCTAGAGAGATAGAATCAGAAGATAACTGGAGCAGAAACTAGGTTGAAATTGTGTTAAGCCTTCAGTTCCTGTAACTTAGAAATACTGCCCTTTAGATTCAAAATGTTAACATTGCACAAGTGTATTTCTTTGTGGTCTCCATGTGGTACATGCAGTGTAATAGTGAATGTGGCACCCCAGGATATATAGCCATATAATAATTAGTTCCTAGCTTTTTATGAATGATATAACAAGTAGGATGTGTTCAAAGAGGGCAAACATCTCAGAGGTGATGGGACATGAGAGTGGATATAAAAACCATGTTGATGCAATAGAACCAAAGACAATCTTTATTTATATATTTATTTATAAAATTTATAAAAATTCATCTCATGATTATTCAAAATTGACATAGGATACAAATTGAATCTAATCTGTATGCTACCATACTTACAGTTAATGTTTACGATATTTATTACATTTCAACTATACTACCCCATTTTACCCAGTTTTCAGCCCCTCAGTGTACTATGGTTTAAAGGCCTTAGATGGCAGCTTTTGCCCATGATTCTATTATGATGGCTACTCTGTGATTTAGTTTATGCCTTGGTATGTTCTTCTGGACCTTGGAATATGCCAGTCTGCATCATTCAGTCGCAAACAACACTTTGCAGTGGAGGTTTCAGGCAGATCAAATAGTATCTTTCATTGAATTGATTGTCTTCTAATTGATATTAATCACAGTGTGCATCCTAAGAACAACCTGTAGAGCACAAACTCTTGTATCGCAAAGCCACTTAAGTCAACTTCAACAGCATTGCATTTTTTTTCTTTGTTAAACCACATTCCAGAAGGAGGTGGGCTACTCTCTTCCCCATCACAGCTTCTCAAGGGCATCATGCGGACGGATAAGATTTTGAACATGCAGGAAGGATCTAATGTGGAGGGCCCTTCTCACCACTACCAACCAAGCTATATCTTGATAGTTGTTTGAAAGCACTCTGCCAAATGGCTTTGACTATCCGCTCATGGAACCATCCGACAAGAACCACCATCTCCTTTTTCTGCTTCAAGGAAATTACTGAGTGCCTGATGATATATGATCAGAAGTGTTCTTCTGCTTGAACTTTTCCACAAGGGATACAACAGAGTTGCAATTTCATGGTTGTATTGATGCTGTTGGATGATCAGATCACGTGGATGGCTGGAAATGCAATGCTGCTTTGCCTATTCTTGTATGGATACCAATCAAAACCTCACTTCTACTGGAGATGCTTTCCCCTAGGTTGGAAAGTAATTAACATCCTCAATGTTCTGTTACTAAACAGTGTGATGGGTGTGCCTTGTATTCATCAAGTCATCATTGTCTTGAACCTTGGCAAGACTGGTACATAGGTCTTTGATTGTTATGCATAATTCTTTAGTCAACGAGGTAATCACGTCTCTGAAGTCCAGGTCTTTCAAATCATGATGTGGCCGCAGGATGTCAAACTCTGTGCCCATCATCACCTTCCTGACAATGAAATCAATAAGTAAGAGGTGAAGGTGTAGTCTTTTGTACCTCTGTGACAATAATGAAGGAATGAATAGCATGCCTGCACTTTAAATCTGCTTTCACCTACAAGATCTATGGTCTTTGATATTGCAGTGTCTGGCTCTGATTTTGTGTAAGTGCAATCTTCACAAATAGTCTAACTGTTATTGGACTGGGAAAGCCTCTCTTGCTAGCATTGTCCAGCACAGTAATATGGAGAGGGTGAGAGGGGAGGTGTTGGTGGAGGGGCAGCATGTATTCAGTAAGGTTTGAGTTGACTTTGTTGAATCATTCCAATCTGTTCATCCTGAGGGCATTGCTAGTTCTGGTTTCACAGAGCTGGTCTATGCAAGGTATTTCACTTTAAGTTTTGTTCCTCTGACTTCTTCACTGTTTTCACTATTTTGGAGTTAAGATTTCCTTTCCTCCAGCTCCTCATCATTTTGCTGCTTCTGCTGCACTTGACCTCCTTGTCCTTCCTTATCGAAAGGGTCACAGCCCCTGTTTTCCATGTCAGACAAGGGATATCTCCAGTCAATGGTCCTCTTGACTCTTTCTTTTTTCTGATCTGCTTGATCAGCTGCCACCAACCCAGCTCTCCCTCTGCTAGCTTCTCCTCCATTGATTTGATCGGAGGCTCAGAGGACTGTATTATCATTTGCCAGTTTACTGCCACATCCTTTTTCTCCGTCTTGTCAAACCTGGAGGGCTTGACAGATCAACAATTGCAAATTTCCTTTATGATAACAGTGATTGTCTTTTTGTCCACATGCTCTCTTAGTTATGAAACAGTTGGGCAGGTCCTGTGGAGGTGGTCTCCCAACCACAAGACTGCAGCCCTTAGTCTGCTTGCAATCTTTTGTCTGATAGCCTTCCTGCTTGTAGTTCTTACAGATGACTGTGTAGCAATTGTCCATCATGGGGCCAGATTTGTCACAGATTTGTTATACAACAAACTCTGGGACAGCCCAGCGTAAACAAAGCAGCCTCAGATTCATGTGATAGCAAAGCTGGAGGGAGGATTGCTCCCCTGGTGTCCACCTTCAAAGTCACCTTGACCTGCTGTATTCTACTCCAAATCCCAAAGAAGTTTTTGACTTTGCTGCTATATCTAAATATGTTGGTGATGAAGGTATGCACATTCAAGGCAGGAATGTGGAGGATGCAAATGATTCCAGTGCAATGGCAGCATAAACAGTGAGGCTCCTCAGCAGTGAAAGCAAGAACTGCAGATGGAGTCAGAGACAACACAGTGTGGAGCTGGAGGAACACAGCAGGCTGCATCAGAGGAGCAGGAAAGTTGATGTTTCGGGGAAGGGTCCTGACTCGAAACGTCAACTTTCCTGCTCCTTGGAGGGTCTTCAGCAGTGCTAGGTTTCACCTCTCTTCAAACACATTGAGAAATTTCATATGTGCTGTGAGGTCCTTGAAGCCACATAAAGTATCCAATACTAGAGAAGTCCTGGGCAGTAAATATCCATAACTGAAAATCTACAGCTCTTCTACAAATTCACTTAATGAAGAAATCACAATTGGTGAGTGTACCTCCTTCACTGCCAAGGTAATGGTATTAATGCATATCTGGTTTGGGACTCAGCTGCTGGTTGCAATCAACATCTCTTGAATTTTTTTTTGGATAGGCACCAAGCTCCCAACCAGAAGGCAAACTGCGCTTCCAACTGCAAAGGGTAGATACCTCATTGAACTCTCCACAAAATAAATCAACACCCCCGAAAAGCTCAAAACTTACATTCATACTGGAAGAACAAACTTAATAGTTTCACGGTTTTGATCTCTGCCCTGCCAGAGAGAAGAACATAGTCAGTCTGGCAAGGTTTTATTAATGGACCACTTGCAGGCCAACTTTCAGATAGATATCAGAATATTGATGCAATCATCTGCATTTTGAATAAGTCATATCAGGCTTGAAATGTTAACCCAGTTTGCCTTTCCATAGACGCTGCCAGACCTGATGAATTTCTCCAGCACTTTTTGTGTTTGCTTCATCTACATTCTGAACAGGCGACTTAAGAAATTTGATTGTAACTACATTCTACGCATTCTGAACCAAGTGGATTATTGACGACTTGATCGGCCAGTGCATTCCAAAGAGATATGAAACAGAAAGAAAATTAGTGAGATTAGCCCCCAGTGGGCCGACTTATTTTCAGGTGGTTGGAAGTTAAGGCTAGGGAAATGTAAAACCAGAGGGATTTTCAGAATTAAGGTGAAACAAAGGAATCTGCGTGTATGTCTGAACGTGGGCATGGGGATGTTGTGAGAGAATGTAGATAGTTTGGAAACAAAGAAGAGGATTTTCATTAGGATATGGGAAGAAGTCAATGGGGACAGATGCAATAAGTAAGTAGTTCAGTGTCGAATAGGATTTGGAAGGCAGAGTTCCACATAAATTGAGATGTTGGGTACAGCTCACGCTGTGTAAGTGAGCACTGCAGTCAATTCTCAGGAAGAGACATCTTCTTCTTCAAAAAAAATTCCCCTTATGAGTCACAGCACCAGCTAAGAATGAAAGCAGGAGGAATTTATTCTCCGAGGTTGGGATAGAACAAGTCAAGATAGAATTTAATAGATGAAGAGAGATAACAAAGTGTAGAGCTGGATGAACACAGTAGGCCAAGCAGCAGCAGAGGAGCAGGAAAGCTGACATTTTGGGCTTAGACCCTTCTTCAGAAAATTTCTAGGCCCGAAATGTCAGCTTTCCTGCTCCTCTGATGCTGCTTGGCCTGCTGTGTTCATCCAGCTCTACACCTTGTTATCTTTAATAGATGAAGATGCTGGTTAACTAAATAATGTAAGGTGTCAATACACTAATGATTAGACTTCCAGGTTACATTACCAAATGAGTTGAGCCGCAAACCTCAGCAACCAAGCTGACGTTATCTAGTGCTTTAGTCTGTAGGCTGCAGAGTTTTGGACAATGTGACATAACAGGCCATGCAGAGGCTAATTATATGATTGAACTATAAAGATCAGCATGAGAGCTCCATGCCACGAAGGTTTGCATCACGGGGGATGTTTTTATTAAAATGCATAACAAAGCAACTTGTGTTTATACAATGCCTTTAATGTCATAAAAAATGTTACAGGAGCCACAGAAATCAGGTGACTAAAAGTGGCAAGTTTTAGCTTCAAAGAGTGATTTATGGAAATCAGAGTGATGGAGAAGAATAGAGAGAGAATTCCAAAGCTTAGGGCCGAGGCAGGTGAAGTTGCACCACAATGGTGGTGATGAAAATCCCAACATGCAAACAACCAGAATTGCAAAGTGCAGACATGTTGGAGTGTTGTTAGGTTAGGGAAGGTTACAGAGACAGAGAAGACCATGGCCAGGAAGGGAATAGAGCACAAGAAAAAATTAAAACAGGGAACAAGAAGGGAAATTTTATCAGATATGTCAGGAAGTATTTATTTGAAAAGAGTGATCAATAACAAAAATAAGTGGTCCAGTATGGGAAAATTGAGTCCGAAACACTGGCTTCATTTAAGAATGATTACATGGTAAATAGGGATGAACTTGATCAGAAATGCTGAGGATGATTCTTCAACTGGATTTATCTCACAAAAATATCTCTATTCACTATATTATCCAATAAAGACACAAACAGTAAATTTTAGCACCTAACAACTTTGAAATGGTTGAGGAGGAAAAAGTATTTAAGACTATTTTCCCCTGGTGCCGAATGATCTCACCAAATTTAATTACTATAATTTAGGTCTGATATAGGATTTTTGTTGGGTCAAATGTATGCAGAATGTTGTTGAGCATGTGGATATCAATGGTTTCCAACCTAGAGCAATCTGCTGAAAGGGCATCGTTGTAGATACTTGCATTCCTACATATTTTCAGGCACCAGGCTGAGGTCTTGCTTCCACATTTAAATGTCCGCTTTAAAGCAGCTGGGTACACTTCCCCCACCCCTTGCTATCATTCCCCTCCACTCTGAACTGGAAACATTGCTGTTCTGTAAATCACGTGCTCAAGTTTCTAATTGCAGTCGAGGCTTAATGAAATGTTTCATACCTCTTTCATTTAAACAAGGAAAACAAGTTTTAAACAAATTACTGAAAAGTGGGAGTAAATGCACACCCTACTACTTCGCCCTACCTTTAAAGCGCATCACTAATGCATTGAAACAAGAGGGGATGAAAGGAAAGGCATTTCAAACCATTTGGGCATTTTAGAGCTTTCAGTACTATATAATGTGAATTTCAGTTTCTCAGAGTGCTTAAAATTCAATAAATGTGCGAAATTTTTCTCCCAGAGCTCACGGAATTCCCCAACAATTGCATTTAACTTCCCAAGACCTTTTGAAATGTCCTTAAAATAGATCACATGTAAAGGGGTCAAAGATTTGCTCTCACAGATGGGGTAAAGCAAAGTAACTTTTCAAAAGTACAGTATTACGTTGCTAATAGTTATCACTTTACAAATCTTGGTTTCGGTGATACAGTTAATATATATAATTGCCAAAGATCGATATTGATTCTAGTCAATTTCACAGAAGCCATAACCTTATTTATAGCTGGGTGCTCGATAATTGACAAGTAGTCCAACGAGTCAGAAACTGCTGTAAGCCTCGGGGCAAAGATGATTGATTGACAGCTTGTCTCACCATTCACAAATCTCAGAACGTACTTGAGCGACGCAGGTTCTCATGACAACGCAGCAGCTATTTCAGGACCAATCCTGCAGCACCTCGTGCCCGAACCTCAATAGATTGACAGCAAATCCGACAATTCGTCGCAACTACAGGACAATAGGCCGCACCAACTACAGTTGATGGATAGCTCGACGACACGAATCTAAAGAAGATCACTGTTGATTTGGGCCAATAGGAGGGTGGCAGAGAGGCGGGCGGTACTGCAAGGCCCGCCCCGGAGCCAGGCCGGGGAACAGTGGAGTGGGTGCAGAGGAGAAACGGCGCTCAAGAACAGGCAGGAAGCAAAATGGCGGCTGCGGGTGTTGGCGTTGCTGCTGCCGCCGCCGCCGCCGCCGCCGCCGCCTTGAAACTCCTAGCAGGTTCCGAAGTTAGGGTAACGGTGGATCACGTCGTGGACGACGCATTGGTAGTGTCCCTGCGTTTCGAAGAGAAGCTTTTCTCAGGGGTTTTAATGGATATTTCCAGAAGGTACGGGAAAATAAAACACAAAATAACGGGTAGAAAGAGAGAGAAAAGAAACCTCCCTTCCCAGAGGCAGGAGAGGCCTGGAGTTGCACCTGGAGAGTGGATGGTGGGGCAGGTGAAGGTGAAGCGCCCACCTAAGGGCCTAGAGCAGCAGGCGATAGCGGTCTGCACCTTATCTCCGCGCTCTGCTGCATCTGGAGCTCTTGTGGTCGCTGCGTTGCTAGAGGACGTGCAGAGGGAGAGAGGGGGGTTTGTGGGGGCACTGCCCTGCCCTGCCCAGCCCAGGCTCCAGCAACTCCCGCAGCATAGTCACCCACCCCGCCCAAATTCAATGCATCATCAGTCTTCACCCCCCCCAACTTTTTTCCAAAAAAGATAGAAATGCAGAGAAAGAGAGTATGAACCTCCTCCCCCGATGCCTTTTTTTAATTTTGTTTGGATTTACTTATTCAATTTAGGGGTTATCTGCATCTCTCGAAAGGTTAATAACGTGGTTTTGCAAATGAGACAAGTTCGATCTGCAGATTTTAAGGAATGAGTTGAAGTACCTGTAACTCTTTTCTGCAATGATTTTTAAATTCGCATTAAATCGCTCTAAAATGAATTTTGAGTCACTGGTAATGTTTGAGTGGCAGGAAGAAAGTGCTGCACCTCGACATTAGGCAGGGTTTGTGTGTATACTTTGAAACAGTGTGATGCAGTCTCATTCATGTTAGAAGTTAGCCAGGCTACTAAATACATCTTTTTGGTTATACTTAACAATGTGTGTCTCTGAACACAAACTTTGACTCTACTCTTCTGTAACAAAAATACAAATTGAGCCCCTTATTATTCATTCAGGTCAAGCTCTCATGTGTCTCAAGGCTTTTTCTGGCCTCCAGATTTGCTTTCAAAGTCAACCTTTCTGTGTGTCGTTTTCTCCCCCCAACCCCAACCTGGTGAGAGCCCAAAATGCCACCCAACATAGTAATATGTGCTGTTCTTGGATCAAGAGTTGGGAAAGTCTTCTGGTAGGTGGGGCAGCTTAAACCTCCTATGCACTGTTGAAACCAGCCTATTACCAGAGAACAAAATAAATTTAGGTTCCCTGCTACATTTCTTACAGTATAATTTGTTTGTATTTTTTCATGTGGGATGGTAAGTTTTTGGGTGTAATATCACTACTTTGGGATATTTTCTGCGCATTACAATAAAAGGTTGAATGATGGGAGGTGGTGGCATAGTGGTAACAGCACTAGTAATCCAGAACTCCAGGTTATAATGTTCTGAAGGCATGGGTTTGAATTCCATCATGGCAGATGGTGAAATCTGAATTCAATTAAAAAGTATATCTGGAATTGTAAAATATGCTAGTCTATTAACCACTTAAAAATGCAGATGCTGGAAATCTGAAGCAAAAAAACCACTGGAGAAACTCAGCAGGTATGGTATCATCTGTGGGGAGAAAATAGTTAACATCTTTAGTCTCAGTTCTGAAGAGGCTTGCTGGACGCAAAATGTTAACTCTCTGCACATGCTACCAGATCTGCTGAGTTTTTTTTAAGCAATTTATGTTTATAACTTCTGTCATAAAAAGTCCATTACTGATGGCCTTCAGGGAAGGAAATCTACTTTCCTTGCTTGATTTGGCCTGCATATGATTCTAGACACATAGCAATATAGTCTCTCAACTGTCTTTTCAGCAATTAGGGATGGGCAATAAATGCTGGCCTAACCAGCCACGCACACATCTTGTGAATGAATTTTTGAAAATGTGCTGGGGAATTAAATGTTTTGTTTCAAACCGCTATTGTCAATCTTTACTACTGTTAGATTAGTTTTTCTTTAGTTAGCCAGAAACTAAGGCTCCAACATCAAGAGCAGCCACCCACTTCCATCAATGTGCCATATGCCATTTCGCATTACAGCCATCCTGTGTCCTTGGAATGATTCGTTTAAAATTAAGCTCTAAGAAATCTAGATTCAGACTAGGAATTCTACACTGAGTAATTCTCCCTGACTCCTCAACACCTGTCAACTATCTTGCAAGGCACAAATAGGAATGTGATGGAATACTCTTCACTTACCTGGATTAATGCAGCTCCATTAACACCCTAAGCTCGACACCATCAGGACAAAAAGTGCTTGACTGGCAACACATCCACCACTGATGCATGGTAGCAGCAGTATGTAACACTTATAAAATGCACTACAAAAATTCTAAAGTCTGCTTTAGAATGTGCCTTCCAATTTCACTACCACTACGATCCATGAGGACAAGGCAACAGATACATGTGAACACCATTACCTACATGTTCTCAAAGCCTCTCACCATCCTAATTTAAAATTTTATTGCAATTCCTTCACTGTCACAAGAGAGGGCATTCCAAGATTTCAACAACACTAGTGGTGTACCTACCCAAATGGACTGCAGTGGTTCGGAGAGGAAGGTTGCTAGCACTTTCACAAGGATAATTATGGTTTAGCAATAAGGCTGGCTCAGCCCTCGAAGTCTTCATCCTCAAATGAATTTAAGAAAAACTGCTCATTCATTTAGCATAATCCATTGTCTTCAGCTTTTCTAGTCAGTCTCAGCTGCTGTAAAATAAAGAACCAACTTCCCTCTCAAGTACATTTTTAATTTTTAACAATTTAAAATAAATGTTGAAAGGAGGATTCTTTAAAGTAGCTATTTGCTCCAGTTACTGAAACTTTATATGAATTCTATTTAAAACTTATTTTTGTCACAGTTTAGAATTGGTTTTACTGGCCATTTCACCCCTATCATTGCCAGGAATGGTATTTTGGGAGCAGAACCAACAAGCAATTGAGAGCCAGACTGCAGTGACTAGTGCTACAGTAACCTAAAAATAAATATAACATTGAGAAATGCAAATGGCTACAGGTAAGCTTTTTAAGCATTTGTCCAGTCAAGCCTAATTTGCATTTGTGTACTATACAAAATTTCATTATGTAGAAACATCCTGTTTGTTAACAAATCTGGGCCAGTCCATCCTAAAGCACTACTGTCTACTGTCACATTATTGACTTTCATAATAGTGATGATGGAAGCAAACAATTGGAATAAAATTCTCGAGGGAAGTTGAACCAAATTATAGGCCTTTTTCCAAATAGGTTTCTTTCCCCCGAAATGTTTGGGTATCATTTGAACAGGTGTAGATGACATCTGTTTCATCATTAATGTTTTATTTCATTACTGCATCTTCTGTAATGAAGACTTGATCTTTCCAACATTAGGCAATGTTTCGTACCCCATGTTATAGTACTCAGCTGTTTTTTGAATGCTTCGTATTAGAGACTTCTACCCCTCTGCTGATATAACATGCCCATTTATAGCTGGTGTTTCACCAGCATTAGGATGAAAGCCATGGGCTAAAGCTGGCTTCCATTTTGCTGTGGTCACTGCCATTTATTTTGCTAGAAAAGTAAAAGGTTGAAACATGTGATTTTTGGAAGAACATCAAAGATGAAATTTTTATCTATTCTAGAAACGGATGTAATGAGAATTGATGCATTTTTTGGCTTATTTCCTTCTGAAAAAGTGAGTAAAATACTAAGATTGTAGGGCAAGTATATATTTGACGTCATTGATCCAAAAATATGCTAAATGTTAACTATAATATTGTATCATTTGCAGAATCATCTACAAACTGCTTTGATTCAGTGGACTAGCAAACATTCACTTTTTCCTCCACCCCTATTTGCAGAATCATCCCCTATTTGCTAGTCCACAAAGTAGTTTTCAGTTCCATTAATCTGATTTGTGACTTAGGAAACCTGCTTAATTGCAATTGTATACAGTTTTCTCACTGTTGAAATTGCAACTTTTTTAAAATAGATGCAAGTGTGAAAGAAAGATGAAGTGAAAGTACTGTTTGTGATTAGTCCAGAAAAATCATAAGTGAATTAAAAGGCTAAACTAGAGTAGGAATGAGTTGTCCTTGATTTCTCCTGTTCGTCAGCATACAGAATAATTCATATAATGTATAATATGAAAAGAATCATTGTTACTTGACTTTGAACTATTAACACAAAAAGTTAGTTCTTCAGCATAGTTCTGGAATAAATGCTATCAGAAATATTCTAAGAAATTTAGGTTTGATCACACTGGCCAGTGATGAGCTATCCAGCATTAAAACTCTGGTATTATAGCCTCAAGGTGGAACAATCTAATGTAGTTTAAATTAATCCCATCCTCTGATCATAGGCTGGTATATACCTTTAACTTATCATTGCCAAGATATGAAAATCAGGAGTTGGATTTTTTAAGTTTTCACCTGGGAGAGGTGGTGTGAGGCTAAGTATGACATTTTGATGGGCAAGAGGGGGCAGGGATTCAAGAAAAGAAAAAGTCTGTTCTCAGCTCTGCCACCACAGTGGACACTTTCATCTTTTATTAATTGTTTGATTTTTATGATGGAGAGTCCAGAATTCCTTACGCTTGACATCAGAGCGTGAATAAACAATTTAGCAGGTAGTTATTTTTGAACAAAGCACCATTTATAAGAATGTGTACTGAGGCCAGTTGGTTCCTTGATGTTCTGAATTAACCTCCAATTGCAAGTTATAATTAATGTACAAATAAAATTGAATTAGGGAGATCATATTTAAAAATCATTGGATGAGATAATTATTGATTAACATTCTCCCAGCACTTTACTGTTTATTGCAGCATCTCCATTTTGGACTTTAATTGCTAGTTCAGAAATGAAAGCTTATTTAAATCGGAAATTTTAAAGCATTGTAAATTATAGAAAACTTGACACTGCAATTCTGCCAAATCACACTTGTTAAACAAAAAAGATAGCTTAACAGGTAAGCAAACAGAAAGGTCATTTACTGTAATGTTTAACAAATTTGCACACATCTCTTTTCTGGATGTCGCTGTCAATGGGATTGAACTTCATTCTGCTAGACATCTTCTACGTTTTGATTGGTGTAAGACCTTGAACTAGAATAAAGTTTTCCTTTTGAAAGCCATATTCTTGAACTGTATCAGTTTATAAAGAGATGTAACTGGATATTTTTGCATGTTTATAATCCTATATTTGCCTGGCAGAAGAGGAGCAAGTCCAATTCAGTTATGTATCAAAGTTAGTCCCTTCTGACTTTTCTTAGAAAGTGTAGCTCTAGACTCTTTTTTGTGTGGTATGTTAAAAGTTCAATGTCACTTGTGTTGCACTACAGTCTGCGAAGTGGTATTTTTAGCTTTCTCATTGAGCTGAGTGAATCACTGAAGAATACAAAAAGTATGTGTTGCTTGGAGATGAATGCCTTTAATTGTGGTAGTAAAGTTGGAGCAAAATGTGAAAACCTGATTATAGGACTGAATCCATTTGTGCTATACCTTCTCAGGTTTGGGCCCTATGGAATTCCTGTGACTGTGCTTCCAAAAAGGGACTACAAGGATAAAACTGACTTAGTGCAACTTCAGTGTGAACCATTCCAGCAACAGATCCAACAAAGTTCAAAATCTGCAGGTACTTGTGAAGCAGCATCTTTGGTACCCTCTGCACACCCTAGTGTGGTTGAAAGCCTGTGGACTGCCAAACCTGCACCGTTATTTTATGAAGGAGCACCTTACCCTCCTCCACTGTTTATTAGACACACGTATAACCAGTCCATACCTCAACCTCCTCCGAGAAGGATTAAACGACCTAAAAAGAAAATGTTCAGAGAGGAGTCTACTTCCATAATGAATTCTATTAAACTCCGACCAAGACAAGTTCTATGTGATCGATGCAAAAATAGTATTTCTGCAGATAAAAAAGAGTTGAGAAGGGGTGGCAACACAAATGACACTTCTCGAAATGAGGACAAGAAACGAAAAAATGACAGTGCACCTGCTATGTCTAAGAGACTAAAAACAGATCACAAACTGGAAGCAAAAACGCAGTATGATGGTCAGAAGAGAAATACAGTCATTAAAATTTCAAATCTAACTACAAGCAAGGGCAAAGTAGTCAAGATTTCTTCTCAAGTACATAGTTCTAAAGTGCAGTTGAATCCCAAAAAAGTGCTACAGAACAAGAATGTAGATCACTCAAAAGCCAGGGAAGTACTAAAAATGGCCAAAGAGAAAGTTCAGAAGAAACAGCAGGAAGTTTCATCTTCTGGTGGTACCATTCCAAAAGTTCACTTTACACGGCGCTTTCAAACGACCAACTCCGGCTCTCTCCCTCCACGGATTCGCTTAAAGCCACAAAGGTACAGAAATGAAGAAAATGACTCTGTTTACAAGGCTAAACTTGATAGACTACGCAGCTGTAAGACAGCGTCTAAAGCGCCGCCTCGCTGTACCTCTTCGCGCTCAGCAGGTGAGCAGCCTTCTGAAAAAGATAGTCCCACAAAAGGGTTGGAACAGTCCACTGATGAGAATAAAGACACCAGGGAAATAAAATGGCCTTGTGAGCAAGATGAAAAGCAATTGGGGAAAAGGGGCAGAGGAGGCAATATAACTGTTTATATGACCTACAGTCAAAATAAATCCGACTCTTCTGCCTTTTCAGTTTGTAGTAGTGATAGCGCAGATGATATAAAATCCTCCAACTCAGAATGTAGTTCTACTGAAACATTTGACTTTCCTCCAGGCAGCATGCATGTACCTTGCTCCTCCTCCTCAAAAGAAGACAAGCTCACTAATTCCTTGAAAGTGAAAGTCTTTACCAAAAATGTCTCTAAATGTGTGACTCCAGATGGCAAGACCATATGTGTAGGGGACATTGTTTGGGCCAAGATTTACGGCTTCCCCTGGTGGCCTGCCCGCATACTTACTATAACTGTGAGCCGGAAAGATAATGGCTTTTTAGTAAGACAGGAGGCCAGAATTTCATGGTTTGGGTCCCCAACAACATCTTTCCTGGCTCTTTCACAAGTCTCCCCGTTTTTAGAAAACTTCCAGTCACGGTTTAACAAGAAGAGAAAGGGCCTTTACCGCAAGGCCATCACAGAGGCAGCCAAGGCTGCAAAGCAGCTGACACCTGAGGTGCGGGCCCTGCTGACACAGTTTGAAACATGAAAACATCAAAGAAGGTAGGCAAGTCAAGTGGCTGGGGTTCCACTAAAATGATGCCCAAATTTAAATATGTATAACTAACTGTAAAACATCAAATTAGGCTCAATGGTATAATGAATGCAATTCAAAGTTAGTTTTAAAATGAGGATGGCTACTGGCTATTATAACACTGAGGGGGTATAAATCTACTCACTTTATCAATTTTCAGCATTAAAGGCAAGAATTTGGTGGACAAATAAACCAATCTTAAATCCAAGAAAGACCCTAATTTCTTTAGGCCCAGTTGCCTTAAACATTTCACAAGTTGGACACGTAGGAGCTGAAACCTGGAAGGACTGTGTGCTGGCTGTTTTATTATGGAGTTCCTGTCCTTTTGAATAGAATGCTCAAGATGAAATTTTTGTACTCCTAGACCCAACAGGGAAAAGCATTTAAAAATTGGCTCCAAAACAGTCAACACATCGAGACAGCCCTTGTAGTTGTTACTTTATCACTTCTAAAAAGCTTCTTTTTGAAATTCTTTCTTGTGCTAAGGATCAAAATGAGCCATGGAATTGATTGATTGATTGGTGCAGATGTACTTTGGGCAACTCTCAAGTGCTGTTATTTGAAGTATGGTCATGTTAAAACTGAAGCAAGCTTATTTGTTCATTGATAATTGTCTCCATAATATACTGTATGGATGCTTTACTGTGATTTTCCTGGTTATGCTTTTTAAAAAAAAATCTTTAAAACTGATGTCTAAATCGGTGATTCAAGCTGGGTAGTTTGAAACGAACTATTGTCAAAACGTGGGTTAGCTGACACCAACTGTAGACCATCTATTTTGGATGTGCTGTTGAAAATGTTACTGCAATGAAAGTTTGAATTCATTTATCCAATTGCTGGATTTAAAGGATTAGAACTTTTTTTAAAAAAACTGCAATGGTTGTTACAAAATTAAGCCATCAAATCAGGAACGAACCTCCTATAAAACCAAATTATCACTGATGCTTGTAATGCTTAGCACATCAGGTAGCATCTGTGGGTTGGGCTAGGATGGATGAAAAGGGCCCTTGTGGCACTGTGGGTGTGTCCCTACTTTGGGCCAGAAGATCTGCCTTCAAGTCCCACCTGCTCCAGAGTTGTCATTAATATCTCTGAACAGGTTGATTAAAAATATCTATGGCTGCAATGTTATTAACCTGAAACATTACATATGACGTACCTGACCTGCGAAGTGTTTTTAGTCCATCTTCCTATTTAAGTGATAAGATGGGGAAATGTACAAGCTATCATTACATGAGCAACATCAATGAAAACAGTTTATCTTTTGCTGGAAAGGAAAGGAAAAGAAAATGTTGCCCATGTTTTTTGTCTTGCACTCAACAGGAAAAATGCATTATTTGAAGTTACCAATATTCACAATGACTTACACAACAGGAGAAAAGGTTGCTGATTGGCTGAGTTATTACCATTGAGAAAGCAACATGGATCTGCATAAGCTTTCCAAACTCCTGGGTAGTTACTAAAAGATGTAAGGTTTGAACATAGCAATTTTATTTGTAGAAAGCTGGTCTACCTTGCTTCTTGGTAGTGCTACATTCCTAAATATCTAATTGATAATGTAGCTGTTAGCACACTGTTCAGCAAGTGCTACCCAATTGCAGAATCACTAACCCATTGTTTTGGATTTTGTTAGCTTGGGCTTGCCTATTTTTTTGAAGGAAGATCTGTTAGATTTGAACAGATTATTGGGATGAATTGCCTTATGCACCTAACATGTCACTGGCACTGAAATTAATACATTGCTAAATTGTGTAACTGGCATCCAGTTGGTGGAAAATACCACCTGCCTTACAGCTTGATAATAACAAGAACACCATTTAACCTGAAGTTCAAATTTTTGCAATATCTTTTCACAGTAATGACAGAAACCTGGCTTCTTTCAGGTCCATTTTCAAGTTTCTGATAATAGTGATCTGTTCATAATAGTTGCTACTCCCGTAGAATGCTGTGCAACGGTTTACAAATTGAGCAAATGGCTAGGGCCTCATTTACAAAATTTCATCTAAAGCTCAAGTTTTAGCAAATGAAGCTGCTGACTCCCAGCATGCATAGTGATTGGTAAAGGTAGGTTCCTGTCTAGTAGACAGTAATAGAAAACATGGTAGGTTTAGCAACAAGCATGTTGAGGAAAGGGATAGCTCAGCTTATCTTCGTAGGTAATAACTCATACACTTGCATGAGTTTTCTGCAAAACAAAGCAGTATGTACAAATCTTAAACCTTCTATTGTACTACCAAGAGCATGGGGACCTTATAATTCCTGCCACCCTTTTACTCCTGTTCATAAGTTAATAATTTGAAATTTGACATTTGTCTTAATGAGTGCAAAATTCAAATTCTGTAATGACTCTGGAACATTGCTACTCAATTAATTGCCATGTTTGCCTTTATCATTGACTGCATTTCGAAAGTACCTGATTATTGGTTGTAAAAGGGCATTGTGATATTCTGTAGTCTTAAAAGACACAGTACATAAATGAAAGCTATCTTCATTTCCAAATAACGTTGGTTCAAGTAGCAAAACCTCTGGACACTAACAAAGAGAGAAGTGCTGAATGGAAAGAATGCAGAATCTTTGTTTATGACAGTGGTAACTTTACAGCATCACAGATAACAACAATGAAAATATCGTCATTGCAACAGTTACCCAAATCCATTCTTGTGAAAAGAATAGAGTGAATTCCTGCTGCTGTCTGTGAACATAAGACACAAGCAGTCAATGTTACTACTAGCAAATTAAGCTCTTCAATATTCAGAAGCCTACTGATCAGGTCACAGCTAACTTTAGAAAGGCCATTTATTTGCAAATTTTTAGCCATCCTGCAGCATCATTCACGTGTTGACCTATATAAGATAGTAGTAGGTTCCCTTCCTTCACGGAAAACCAGAATTAGCTAAGTTCCTTTTTTAAAACAATGTAAATAAAACTCTCCGCTACTGGAGCGTATCATAGTACTAATGTTATTGGGGACTTTTTTCAAAACTGGGAGTGTGATGACAATTTTGCATGCCATCCAGGGGCTTCTGACAAAAATTCAGCTAAGTTCATAGTTGCTGGATTGAGTCAAGCAAAATCCTTTCATGCAGGACGTTTGGTCAGCAGATCAAGATTGCTGAGTGGAGTTGAAGACCAGAATTGTGCCATCCAGTCCCCTTGCTGCTTGAGTTTATATTGCATTTTATTTTGTTATGCTTTAAACATGCAAACTCAGCTTGGAAGTGTGTACAGTACTGGACCAGCCTCTCAGTTACAATGTAGAGTAACATTTTTCTCAATGTTTCCTCTGTAAAATTTTGCCAATTCAATGATTAAACTTTATAAATCTCAAATGTGCAGAGCAATAACCATCTTTCTGAATATTTCTGTTCAAATTATTACTTTCAAAGTGTCAACATTACCACATAAACAGTTATGTTATTGTGCATTTTAAGATTTTTGAATTCTAAACTAAATTTCAATTGGTTAGGGGTTAAGTTCTTTAATCTGCCTACTTAAGCTTTATTCCCCTCGAGTTAGATGATGGTTGAGCTGATAGTGAGCCTGTTCTATATGCCACAGTTCCACATGCAGCCTGGAAATTGGGCCAGGTTACAGAAAGGAGAGAACATGTAGACTAATGCCAACATTGAGGTGAAGTACTAAATTTTCTTAAAGTTTGTGTTGTAGGTTGTGATGCGCTACATCAGTGGTTACATTTAAAAATGCTCACTATGAAGTGTGAAGGAATTTGGCTTTAATTCTTTGACATGCCCCTTTACTAGTCTGGAAAAGAAAATGGCTGCAGTAAGATAATCCTTAATGCTGTTTGTTTTGCTAACTTTTCATAAATATACTGTGCTGAATTAAAATGGAAATTATCAGAGTGCTGCATCACCATCATTCAGAAAGTTTTAAAAAAATCAGTTTGCTTTGGCAAGACAATGCATTGCTGTTGAAGGGAATGTTATGAGTTACTTCTACGGATTCATTGATAATATATCTACCCTTCTGATTTGAATATATTGCATTTGTAGTGTATGAAAAATAATTCTAAATCTGTTGAAGTTCTAGTCTAGGTGAGAGAAATAAACCTGCATATTTTAGCACTATCATACTTTTTTAAAATGAAAATTACAGAAGCTATCAAATCAGTGTTACAAAGCAATGTTTGTAAGCCTAAAGAGTTCCACATTATAAAGGCCTGCACAATAATAATGAAATATTTTACAAGTCAGGAATCCTTTGTCTGAAAACCTCAGGACCACTGGTTTTTGGATATAATGGGCCCTTTGGGATGTTGGGAGATGACTTCACTTGGTCTGAACAGTCCTAGAAGTGAAGGTATTTTCAGCCCTGAAGAGCCCGATATGCTGAGTTCAGGCCTTTCAGGCAAAGAAAAAACCTTTGCTTGGCCTGAATGAACCTAGAAGTGAAGCTTTTTCCAAAACTCTGAACTCAGCATGTCTACAAGTCTGTTCAGGCCTGCTTTCAAAAAGACCTTCAGTTTTTGTCTTTTTGGTTTTCAGACAAGGTTAGAAATCACACAACACCATGTTGTCGTCCAACAGGTTTACTTGAAAACCTTTGGACTATAACCTGGTATTATGTGATTTCTCCCCTTCCCATGCCAGTTGAACACTGGCACCTCTGTATCATGGTTTTCAGACATGCAGATAAAGGATACCAACGTGTAAATAAAGCAAACTGTTTGAAATATAGGGAATGTTCAAATAATGCTGGGGGAAGAAGTAGGCCAACACACAATCTGGACACTGAATTTTTAAAAACCAAAAAGAACTGCGGATGCCGATAATCTTTACTCGAGTCTTCACGTAACAATGGTAATGCAGGAATGAGTATGACGTTTACAGGCAGTTCCTGCCTTCTGAACAGTGACCATCAGGTTAAACTCACGACTAGTCATTCTTCTCTAATGGAGCAGCCCTATGGTCCTTTGATACTGTAATAACTTTAAAATGAATTATAAAATTCAGTTGGCAAAACTTAAAATTCGACACCCACACCACCACCTAAACTCCATCTGAAATACTGTATTTAGTGTCCCTCTGGTTTCTTGTTTCTGCTGTGGGTGGCATGATGGCTCAGTGGTTAGCACTGCTGCCTCACAGCACCAGGGACCCAGGTTCAATTCCAGCGTTGGGCGACTGTCTGTGTGGGTTTCCTCTGGGTGCTCAGGTTTTCTCCCATAGTCCAAAAGATGTGTAGGCTGGGTGGATTGGCCATGCTAAAATTACCCATAGTGTTCAGGATCATGTAGATTAGGCGGATGGGTCTGGGTGGGATGCTCGAGAGTTGGTGTGGACTTGGGCCGAAGGACCTGTTTCCACACTCGGGATTCTATAATCATCTTATTTATTTAGCAAATTACTTGGTCTCAGGTACTGTACTATATGTATAATGCATGATTTAACATTATTTAACAATACAAATTTTGAATGTCACACTGTTTTAACATTCTACTACAGTTTCTATGGTACTTCAGAATTTCAAGATGTAATGATGCACCTTTTTACCATAAGAATATACATTCGTATGCACTCAGGCCTCAGGAGGTAAGTATATCAGGAAGAGCAGAAAGGCTCTTAGATGAGGAATCATTCAGCCAGCCCTATACAAACATGAACTTTCAAGTTTGACCTATACCGTCCATGGATAGGTATGCACATTGGAGTTGAGAGACTGAGATAAATGGAAGGCACTCAAACAAGTAGCACAACCCTGATTAACAATATATCGGAATAAGTCATTACCTTCAATTGCTTGTATTAATGATGTTGCATGTTGGCAAATCACTGATTTTTTTTCCTGGAACTTGTAATGGAATTACACAAAAACACATCTAGAGGATTATGTCATTTGTATACGTGCTCAACTGAAAATTGGACAGTCATTCTTGCCAAGTTAGTATTTTCTATACTAGGGAACAGATGGTCAGTTTTTTTTAAACCAATCTTTCTTTTTGTCAACATTATATCCTCCATTTGTAGAGAATGTTTTAATTAATATCATTCCATGGTGTAATTTAGAATACTTACCAGGCATGGCACTTGATTTCTATTTCTGAAATACCACCTAGTACTTGGCACTTATTGTTCAACGGTTGTTTTCTTTTGTCCATTAGATCCTGTATTTTGGGGCGGGGTTGGAGAAAGAGAAAAAAAATTACTCTTTGGGGGGCAACTTCTCACTTGGTTAGCAGTTTATGCTAGTTATACTTTATTTTCAACTTGCAGATGTGATTCGTAACCCAACAAATTTGACAGCTATATACAATTTCTTAAAGTGCTATCAACCTTCTGGTTATGGTTGAATAACTTGAAGATACATTTGTCCATGTTTTCCCACTCAAATCTGAAGAATTGTAATTCTGAGTTTTAGTGCATGTTTTTTCTGTGCTCCGGTGTAGACATTATTGAATTCTTTGCCAACTATTCCTCTCTTTAAGGAGGATGTCTACCTTTTCCCAATTAAAGTCATATCATCGAGAAAATCAACAATAGGTTATGAGCTAGAAAAGGTCTCAAATCGCATTTCACTAGTATGCACACATTATCAAGAGGTGACATCCATTTCAAACAAAATCACAATAATTGATCTGTACTTAAATGGGGCGTCTTGAATAGATTGGACCAGCAGTTATCATTTTGGCATGTAATATTCCTGTTGTGATTTAATGGAATTATATATGTATTGTTTGACTCTGTTTGTTTTCCCTTTTTAGCCCGTCGACACTAAAGGTTCTGGCTGCTGTTTCTTAAGATGTCCACTACACTGCCATTTGTTGGGCTGCAACGTTCAGACACCCAATATGTCATCTTGTCCAGAGTTTGTGGGGAGGGTTGCTGGAGAGGAAAAAAAATTTTGACTGAGTAGTCATAACTGAAATAAACATGACACTTGTACCTATTGTACATTGCTTTCTCACATGGAAAATGGAAGATATTTTTTAAAAAAGATTTTGCAATTCTTAATGCATGTTGAGATTTTTCTGACATAAGTATATATGACCCACTTGAAATGGCGAATTCTTTCTTAGAAATTCTTTTCATGTGATGTGCCCTGTTTAAAATGTGGTCACTGGATGAGTCCACAGTTAACTGAACCCAGACATTTCTTACAAGTACTGTAGTCCTTTTTTTTTTATTTTTTATATAAATCCTGAGAGTTGGATTTTAATTATGAATTCAGTTTTAGAAATTGAACCATTTGTCAGGGATTTTTTTTACATGTAGTACTGTATTTGCTCTCCACTGGTTTTGCTTAGTTGCTTAATATTTAAGCTATGGTCCACATTTTAGTTTTGTCTTCATATCAAAAGGAGCCCATTGTCAATTATTTTGTGGACTTGAATACCTTTTTAATTATGTGATTTCAGCTTTAAGGTTTGCATAAAATTGAATGTTTTAAGAATGTGGTGTAAAACAATATTCAAAAGATTAAAATTTAGATTGTATTATGATTGATGTTGGGTCTTTTATGGGGAACTATTAAGAAAACAGATGAATGAGATTCACGTGGCCCAGAGTATGCTCCAAGAGATATTTCTTGATCTTGCCTGCAGTTGGTAGTGCTGAGATCAACTACCTTTTACTTTTTTTTTTAAATTGAGCAGAGACTCCTCTAGGTATAAAAACACAATGTTACTCTAAAATCTGTTTGGGTTTCTAATGATTTAAGTTACAGTACTGATGAGCAGAACCAGTAGAAAGTTTCATTCATATTTCATTAATTATAATTCTCATCAAGATTTTCATGGTTCAGTAACTAAGTACTACTATCCATTATCACCATATACCCCTCACCTCTTCTTTTGCTCCAAAACAAATCTTTTGGGAACCTGTTGGAAAGGATTCAGACGAGTGCCTTAGTTTCACAACAACCTAGACCATAAGGTCATGTGGGGATTTCAGAAAGTGCCAAAGTAGGGCAGGCCTCATCACTGAAGAGCACGAGCATACATTCAAAGTACCAATTTCACTGGATGTCTAAGAGATAATGACTACAGCTTTCTTTGGAGGTAGTTACAAACTTGTACGCACATCTGCAGCCCCATTATTTGAAAGAACCCATATCAAATGCCCTCAAAATAACTACAGCCCCAAATTTCTCTGCCAGTGACATGTTTCAAATTCCCAAACTATGTCGATGTACGTATAGTTGATAAACGGCCTGTTCAGAAGGGCCATTAATCAGATTCTCAGCAGATTTTGATGGCCAAGCAACTGGGGCAAGTTTGTCTTTGGGGCTACAGGTACAGGTTGCAATCAACTGAATCACAGTATCCACTCCTTTAACATTCATGTTACTGTTATCTATGACCACCAGAAAAGAATTATGCAAAACGTGCTTATTTCCCATAGATCTTTTAAGGAACTCTCTCAGTTACCACAACTAATTTGGGGAGATAGAGGGCTTGGTGACATGGTGCAATGATAACAATCTCTCTCTCAATGTCAGCAAAACTAAAGAACTGATCATTGATTTCAGAAAGAGGAACAGAACAATGCCCCCATTAACGTCAATGGAACTGAGGGTGGGGAGTGTCAAGTTCCTCGGAGTGAAGATAACCAACATGTCCTGGACTTCACGTGGAGATGTGACATTCAAAAAGGCACAACAACGCCTCTTCTTCCTCAAGTGGCTCAGGAAATTTGGCACGTCTGTAAGGACCGTCACCAGCTTCTGCAGATACACCACTGAAAGCATACTATCCGAGTGCATAACAGCCTGATTTGGCAACTGCTCTGCCCAGGACCGTAAGAAACTACAGAAGGTGGTGTGCACAGCCCTGACCATCATGGAAGCTAACCTTCCATCCATGGACTCCATTTACATGGCTTGCTGCTGCAGAAAGGTTGCCAACATCAAAGACCCATTGCACACCGGAAATGATCTGCAACCTGATCCATCAGGCAGATGATACAGGAGCAGCTTCTTCCCAGCTGTTATTAGACTGATGAATGGACTCTCTAGCCCCAAATAATGCTCATCTTGGTAACATTGATCCTGCCTAGTGCACACCCTGTGCAATGTAATCTGTATGCCTCTAAGTCTTTTTGATTTTAACATCCTTGCTTACTATGATCTGACTGTGCTGCTCGTAAACAAAGCTTTTCACTGTACTTTGGTACACGTGACAATAAATCAATAATTTGAATCCCACACCCAAGTTCATGTTTGCATTGTATGGGATGAGGGCAATCACCACAGTCTTGAAGAAACATTACAATAATTTTTAATCAAACTGTTCAGACATGCTATGACAGACTTGAACCTTGGCATCAAGAGCCCCCTTAGAAAGTCGTACACTGCTGAACAAGGTCAATTATAAAAGAGTACACCATCGGATTGTTCAAAATATATTTCTGATGCCTTCAGAGATAGAAGGAACTGCTGATGCTGGAGACTCTGAGATAACAAGGTGTAGATCTGGATGAACACAGCAGGCCAAGCAGCATCAGAGGAGCAGGAA